GCATCATAGCCAGAAGACCTAGGTGGGAACTCAGGTTGGCCACTAATAGTTGCATGATTTCGGTGAGTCCCTTCACTCTTCTGGTTCTCGTCTGTAAAAATGGAGATTCAGACTTCCTACCTCCAAAGGGCTACAATGAGCATTGGTTGAGACTATGACAGAGGAGCACTTTAAATCTGCAAAGCATGATTTAAACCTGCAGCCTGGGGGGCAGGAAAGTCGCTGCAGGCTAAGGCTGTTGGGGTTGGGGAGTGTGTATAGGGAGGCCGTTCTCTGCTGTGAATATAAACTCCCTGGCATCTGCCTTCCTACCCCTGTGCACAGAATCTGGTCTCCATCAGGGTGCTGCTCCGGGGCCCTGCCTCCACCTGGCCCTACTTGGTTGATTCCAGTGGGGCTGCCCTCAGACTTGGACTTCTGAGATACTCCTGTTGTGCCCCATTTCCTTGAGTCCCCAGTCACCAGGCTCAGTCGCGAGATGCAAGAGCAAAACAGGTCTTTACTGCTAGTTCGAACTACCGTCTCAGTGGCCCGTCAGAACACAGGACTCGGTCTGAGACCCTGAACAAAGAGCCCTTCTTGCTTTTATACTTTTGGAACAGTTAGGGGCTTTCCAAGGGAGGGGGTGGTTTATTGTGACCTTAGTTGATTGGCTGAAGAGGGTCAGGGTCTTGTTGCACAGGTTTCTGGGCATGGTTTCTGCTGGAATGGGCGTGGCTTGAGCGGGAAACTTCTTATTCGAGATGAAAGACACAAAATGGAGGCAGGGTTATGTGGGGGACATAGTTATTCAAGATGGAAGACACAAAATGGAGGCAGGGGGGTCCCACACTGCCAACCCCCAGCACTCCTAGCCTGGGATCTGGGTGGAAATGCAGCATCCCTGAGGTGCTGGGAAAAGGAAAGGGCTGCGGCTTCCCATCCTAGGGCCAGAAGATGCCTGGAACCACAGATGCGTCCTACTGAGCTCTTCCTGCACGGGCCAGTTACCAGGTCCAACAATGACGGGCACCAACTGATACACTCCTCACATTCATTCTCCACCCCACAGCATCCCCATTTTAAAGATCGAAAAATGGCTCAGAGAGGTAAAGATACTTGCCCAAGGTCCCACAGCTACCAAGTAGCAAGACAAGGTCTAGAGCTGGGTGGGTCTGATTGAGAGCCTGGCTCTGTCCTCTAAGTCACAGGGCTACCCACGTAAATGCTCAGCACTCTCATCAAACCCAGGCAGAGGGAGGATTCACTCTTTGGCTCCCTCCTGCCTCTCCTGTCTTGCCGTTTCACCCTCCCTAAGCCTGAAGAACAGGATGGAGGCAATCTATAGGTGTAATGACCTCTGGACGTAGATAAAGGGCTAAGGAGGCAGGTGACAGACAAGTCAAAACCCAAAGGGCTGGACCTGTACTGGTGGAATAGTGAGCAGTGGGTGACATTTCAGGCCTGGGTCCCACTTGAACACTCCCTAGAAAGCATATCTGTTGAGCAGTGTCCTAGCTCTGGAGAAAGGCCTGGCCTGGCTGGCTTTCCCTGCCCTGCCCCTAGGCTTCTTGCCAGGAAGATCTGGGCGTGGGGGATCAGCTTTTACACGGAATTGCCAAACACGTCCCTGCCTCCACGCTAGAGCTCTCAGGAGAAAGGGGACAGTGGCCAGGGACCAAAGACAGCCACGGCGGTCCAGAGCCACTTGTTGAGGAGAAGCTTCACTCCATTCCATTGACCTCTGCGCAGAGGGGCAAATGAGTGGCCTCAAGGCATATGCTGATGGTCAGTGGTTCTTTTTCCCAGCCAGGCCCAAACCCGATTCCCCTCGATGGTGACAGGTCTGCTCAGGACTGAAGGGGTTCCTGGTATGCTGGCAGAGCAGGATGGGATGGTCACATATTTCCTGAGGTTTCTGGAGTCACACTGGGACTGGCAGGGGTGATGGGTGGGAGTGTGGGTGCAAGATAGGGGTCAGAAGACCCCTGCCTCCAAGGAGGGGGAAGCCACATTCCCAGAAGCGCAGAGCACTCTCACCCCTGTAGGCCTTGTGCTCATGAGGGCCGTGGAGGGAGGCCCTGCGTGCGCCTGCACATGGTCCATCTGCTCTGTGTGAGCTGCAGGCCTCCGGTGGGGAGCTGCTCGGTGTAAACAGTTAGCTGTGGGTCCACGAGGGGCAGGTGGGGGTAGTGGGGAGGGTGGGGGCTGGGAGTTATCTTTGCCTCTGAATCTGCTGTGTGTGCATGTTGTGGGTGGAAGTGCGAGCAGTGGTGTGAGTGGAGAATTATCTGTTGCCTGTGGGCGCAGTTTTGTGTGTGAATTTCATGTGGCTCTGTCAGTTGTGGGGGATGTCAGCGGGAATACTGCTGTCTTCCTGAGCCTGTTTCGCGTGTATTTGTTGGGCATAGGGATGATTCGTGAGCGTGTGTGAGTAGGTGAATTATCTGCTGGATGTGTGACTCCACACGTGTCCATGTCCTGTGCGTTAGACTGGCAGATCCCCGTAGTGACGTGAGAGGAGGGTGTCAAGTGTGAGCCCACTGAGTGGACAGGCCAAGCATGTCTACCCAGGGGCAGGCCCAGCATTTAGTCAGCGCTCATCCCTGACCCAAGGGCAGGAGCTCCCATCCCAGGACTCAACTGACCTCAATTAACTCCCAGTGAACAACTGGTTAATACCCGGCATGGGGGTGGGGTGGGGTGAATATGCCCCCTTGGGCTTCTTTCCCCCACCCATACGCCTTTTCAGAGCTAAAAGCTGCAAACTGCTTCACAGCACAAAGCCTCTGGATCACGTTTACCACTTTTTTTTTAGAAGGAAAATTGCTGGTGACACTTCCAACGTTGCCTCGGCTCCCAGAAAGCGGCTTTCAGCAAGACGTGTCTTCACGCCAACGCCCGCATCTTGGAGCACCAGACATTCCTGGGCATTGTTGTAAATTAGGGGGATATTAGAATAATAAAGCCAATACTGAAAGAGGGAGGAAAAAACGCCTGTGCCTTTGTGCGAGGCTGGGAGGAAGTTGGGGGTGAGGGGAGGCAGGAGGAGGAGAGGGGAGGGAGCAAAGGAGAGGCCGGCCAATGGGAGGGGGGCAGGCGAGAGGGGCTCCCTGTGCAGAATCAGGGTGACCCGGCCAGTTACGAGGCTTCAGGGACAGTCCGACACCAGGAACTGGCCGGGCTGCGCTCTGGCCCTGCGGGAGGCTGGGGGGTGGGGCGCAGGTAGGGGGCAGGGTTGGGGGAAGCAGAAGTCTCTAGGGGCAGGGGGTGGCTATGCTCTATACGCTCTATCAGGAAGCCACAGCAGGAGAGGGCGGGGGAAGGGGCTTCCTCTCCCACCCACATCCGTTTCTGGACTCTCAGATCCTCTCACCTGTGTGGCAGCTGTAAGGCTAGAATTAAAAGGCCCCCCTCAGTGACATAAGCTGCATTGGACCTTACCAGGCTTCAGGCCCACTCCTTCCTGATTCCTTCCTTCTTAGCAGAGACAAGACCCCAGCAGAGAAAGATCTGCTGCCCATCTGGGGAGCGCTGGCTGACAATGGGAGAGGGTGTGCTTGCTGGATCTGATCTGGATTCCAGGCACAAGTCCTAAAACACAAAGCCCAGCATGGCAGACGGCTGCTCCCCCCCAGCACAGTTGCTGGGCGGAGAGTTGCCAAATGACTTTTTCCTTCTGAGTTCCGTTGAGGGAAACTGTGAGGAAATAAATTTCTTCTCAATATGCTATGGATTGATTCCAGCTAGCTTCCCAGTGGCCCATAAAATACTAGCAACATTTATTGGGTACATGTTTTGTGCCAAGTGCTATTATGTAGACCTTAAAGAAGGAAGCTATTAGCAACTCCATTCCTGAGAAGAGAGAGAGTAGGTGACTCTGTCAAATGCACATAGGCTAGGAAATCCCAGGGCCAAGATTAGAGCCCAGGCAGTTGCCCACCAGAGCCTTGTACTTAACCACCAGATCACCCTGCTTTTCAAGAAAAGGTAGGTTTGTGAAATGCAGCAAGGAGGGGACAGACGAGCATCTTGGGGGCCAGGTGACTCACCCCCAGGAAGGTGAGGCACAGGGCAAGTGTTCCTGGGGAACAGGTCTGGTTCCAGAGTGGGCTCCCTGAGATGACACAGCCAGGACTGTGGGAAAGCCGAGTGCAGGGGGGTTACTCCCGGAAGGAAGGAGCAAGGGCTCAGCGTGGCCTGCAGACACAAGTCAGGGCAGCAGGCACGGCAGGATGAAAGGCCTGAGCAAGGGCAGATGGTTTGGGGCCCAGGGCTGGCAGGTGCCATCAGCAGGAGTAAATGGGGCCGACATCCCTGTGGCCCGTCACTGGTGCTGCAAGTGTCCCTAACTCTGTAGGCAAACCGAGTGTTCTAACCAGCTTTGGAGGCTGTGCTGGGTGGTAGCCCTCTGGGGACGGGGACCTCAGCGGGCTGTGGTCTCAAAGACAGGTCTTTGGAGGAAGAACTGGCCAGCCCCATGGTTGATGGCGGAGAAAGGATCCCAGCACCATTTTTTACTTAACAAATCTTGAGATTCTGCCATTGTAGTACATAGATGGTCTCCTTGTGATTTTCCAAGGTTCCATAGTATTCTGATATGTGCTCATCCCACATTCTAGTTAGCCAGTCTCACAGTAATGGACTTTTAGGTTTTCATCTATTATAAACAGTACACCTGTGGGTCTATATGGGAGGAAAATGCCTAGAAGTTGAATCACCAAATCAAAATGTACAAAAAACCTGTAGAATTCTACAGCACGTTGCCAGTTAGCCCTCCATCAAGGTTGTACCCATTTATCCTCCCCCACTCACCAACAGGGTTAACACATTTTGGTCTTTCCCAAACTGACAGGTAATACATGGTGTCTCAGAATTATTTTAGTTTCCATTTTTCGTTAGAAGATGGATGAGTACCTTTTCTATGTTTAAGAGCCTATGGTGGTTTTGGTGGGATTTCCACCTGTCTCTTCAGGGAATTTTCTTATTTAAATTGCCTTGCCATGGGTAAGAGTCATCAGCATTGTCATAAGCACCTTTAAACTAGTGAAATAGAATTGTTTTCCCAAGGACCAGGTGAATGCGTAAAATAAGACCTGAGTTCCTTGGTTGTTTAATGGGGAAGCTGAGGCATTGGGCAATAAGAACTCAAGTTCTTTGACCCCTTCTCCCAGCTCATGCTTGGTTTCTGCACCTTAGGATGAGAAGCTGGCCTGCTATGACCCTTGATGTCAGCCCAGAGCAGCCCCACAGATCTCGCTCAGCCTTGGGGTTTCAGCAGTGCAGTGGAGCGACTCATTGTGAGGTGAGCTGCCAGCAAGTTTATTGTCTCAGCTGCTGATTGTTGAGGTGCTCCACTGATGGACAAGGAGAAGGGGCTCCAGGGGCCCCAGCTGCAATGCTGTCCTTGGCATCACCACCCACACAGCCAGTGGGGCTCCTCCTGGGACTGCAGCCTGCCCTCCAACATCATCCCTGCAGTGGTGGGGGCGCAAAGCAGAAGGGGGACTTGGGGGTTGCCAGGAGAAAACAGTATTGTCCCAGCAGAGAGAGGGTCTAGTTATTCAACTTTGGACAAACCAGCTCCTCTCTCTGGCCCCTCTGTCAACATCTACAAAACAGAAGCTTAGGTACCGTGGTTGACCCTTTCTGCTTTAAAATGTGTCTGCCTTTTCCTCAAGTGAGCCCCACTCATTTTCTCCTCAGGGTCTTTGCACTGGCTGTTCCCTCTGCTAGAAACCTGTTCCTTCCATCTTCACATGCCAACCCTCTCATCATCCTGTTGCAGCCCAGGTGCCGTGTCCTCAAAGAAGTTGCCTGACGCTCTGGCGCGCCATCCCTGAGTTCCATCACCACCACCACCTTTCAGAATCAGCGGATTACTGACTTGTTTCCTTGGGATGGTCGGTCCCAGTGAGGGCAGGGCTGTGTCTGTGTTGTTCCTTTTGTCCCAGTGTCCTGCCCAGTGCCTGGTGCCGAGGAGGCCGTGGAAACAAAGACCAGCAGGGGCTCTGCAGGTTGCAGGCCAGCAGAGGAGGGAGCCATCCATGCTGTGCAGCCCCCCGGGGCAGGTGAGGCTGGGCTTCTTCAGGAGGGACCCGGGGGGCAGTCAGACCAGAGGAAGGGACTCCACGGTACAGTCCCAAATCCTGGCATTCAGTGGCTTATCTGCCCCAGCCTGTCAGACCTCTGGGGTCTGGGGACCCTTTACACTCTTCATGAGAACTATAGGCTCATCTACCAGTAAAGGAAGTGTTTTCCAGTGTCCCCCTCACAGGTTTGTAAGTTTTAGTTTATAGTCTGGAGATAAGACAGGAAAGACATTCCTTATCACCCCCACAGGTCACCCAGAAGCAGAATGTATAAGGGCCCTTTATTTCCCTTATCTCAGTCAGACATCTCTTGGTGAGTCCTGTCCCTCTGTCGCCAATGATGTGACCCAGCTCTGCTTTATGTTATTGTTAATAGGGTCACAGGAGGCTCATCTCAGACCTCCCCTCCCACCCACCGCCTGGGACTGGCTGGGGTGCCACCACTCTGCACACCTTCCCCAGGCACCATCCTACTCTCCGCAAGGCACACCACGGCCTTTTCTGCCTCCATCTAAGTCTCCATCGACATGTTCAGCGCAGTGTGTAGAACAAGAAAGACTCCAAAGTGCACCTCCACCTGTAAGGGAGGTCGTCAAGCAAGCCAAGGATCACCTAGAGTATGGCTGTCAGCCTCAGCCCTCCTGGCTTCTTGTCAGGGGCTGGCCTGGGTGCTGCACGGTGTTCAGCAGCATCCCTGGCCTCTGCCCACTAGATACCAAAGTACCTTCCACCCCAGTGTGACAACTTTCAAGCCCTCCAGACATAGCAAAGTATCCAGCTGAGAAACAATCCATTGGTTTACACAGTGGAATTCTCTGCAGCCATTAAGTATGACAAATAATAGTACAGGTAATTATAACTGATTGTTGTTGAGGGCCACTATATACCAGGCTCAGTTCTAAGCTTTGCACATGGTAACTTCTGTAATCCTCACAGCAACCCCATTTCACATATGAGGAAACTGAGGCACAGGGAGTTTGATTAACTTGTCTAAGGTCACATAGCCTGAAGATGCTCTTGACATTGTTATGGGAAAAAGAGCAAGAAAACAGTACGTGTATTATAATTTCTTTCTTTGTGTGTTAAGAAGCAGGTATGCTATCTGCCTCCACCCGCCCCCCCCATGTGCATGCACACATATATGTATCACAAAATATATGTGTTATGAGCAGTTCTGTCTAGATCAGGTTGTGAATGAAAATTATTTTACTTTTGTTTCTCTGTAGTTTCATGTATATGTTATTGGTGAAACCAGAAAGAAACATGGTCTCATCTCCAGCCTTGCAGCCTTAAAGGTGAGATACCCTCAACCCCATTACAAGTCTACAGTGATAGGAAGGGACTCCAGTGCATTTGAGGTGTCTCTGGGGTCTTGTCTGGAGTTGGAGGTTGATACAGATCCACCAGAGACCAATGGGCACTTCCCAGAAGCCTCAGGGACACTCACACTTTTGCCCCTTTCCGGAAGGCGGTAGGGTGGGGACACTTCATCCAATGACTAGCAGTTAGAGAATATGTAAGACTTTAAAATGGCTGAGCGGCCCTGTGAGCCAAGTTGTGGGAAGAATGGAGACTGTCCCAGTGGCCCCAGCATGGCAGGAACTGGGGCAGGAGCAGGCAGGCAGACAGACAGACAGACAGACAGCACAACTATAGGGAGCTTGATTCTTTTAAAACAATTTTAAATAACACCCAACATGACTATTTTATGTTATAAATAGCATACCTTATCATTCCCAATATAACCACTGACTCTACATTTATAAGAGTTTTGAACTGTAAGATGATTATTTTTAAGGCTAGAAAAAAGTAAATCCAAACATTAACAGTAGCAGGGTAGAGGCTAAAATAGAAATGGGCTTTAGAACCCGAAAACCTGAGCTGAGTCCTGCTCTGCTCACACTAGCCCTTCACTTAAGGCCCCGTTTCTTTAGGCCTCTGTCTGGTTCACGTCGGTGTGAACGGCCAGCAGGGGCCTCGGAGTCTGAGCACAGTTCCTGGCACGAGGCTCCCATTGCCATGACTGGGAACTGCTATTACCGTAGGACGGCGACCTTGTGATTAGTTTGCCCCCTTTATACTCAGCTCAGTTTGCTTGAGGCATATTATTTTTAGAATTAGAAAGGAAAAACAAAACAGCTCATAAAGCTGGAAGGAAGGTGAGGCGTGATGGGGGAGATATGATTTGCAGGGAGCAAAGGACAGAGAGACAGATGCTCTTTAGAAACCACGGGCTGTGGGGCCTGGAATCTAACCCATGCTTAACAAGGCTGAGAGGGGCAGTGGGCACACCCACGGGTTTCCTCGCTGGGAATTTCCTGCCTTTGAGCCCACACACCTGTCCCCAGTCTGCAGATCTCAGGGAAACCCCAGGGCACCAAGCCACTCACACACGCCCACTGCCAGCATCCAGGCCTGCAGGGCCCCAGTTGGGGTTACAGGAGCCCACCAGCCAGCCTCTCTCTCGCTCTCCGCGCTGTGCCCCTGGGCTGCGGTTTCTGATGTGTCTGTGATGTGGGGTAAGAAACAAAGGCCTAGGACCCAGAATCGGTGTTCTGTTCCACAGGTCTCATCTTCCTGTTCTTTCTTCATTTCTTTTCTTCTTTTTTATTGTAAATATTATTAATAACCAAAGTCATTCCTTTAGGTAAGTTGGACTTAATCAAAATTTAAAACTTGTGCATCATAGGGCACTCTCACAGAGTAAAAAGGCAACTCACAGAATGGGAAAAAATATTTGCAGATCATGTATCTGATAAAGAATTAAAATGCAGAATATATAAAGAACCCCTACAACTCAACAACAAAACAAACAACCCAATTAAAAAATGGGCAACAGGCTTGAATAGACATTTCTCCAAAGAAGATAGACAAATGGTCGATAAGTACATGAAGAGATGCTCACCATCTTTAGTCATTAAAAAGTGCAAATCAAAACCACAGTGAGATACCATTTCACATCTCTTATTGTAGCTTTTATCAACAAAAGGAGAAAACAAGTGTTGTCAAGGATGTGGAGAAACTGGAACCCTGTGTCATTGCTAGTGGGAATGTAAAATGGTTCAACCCCTATGGAAAACAGTATGGAGGCTCCTCAACAAATTCAACATAGAATTATCATATAATCCAGCAATTCTACTTCTAGGTATGTACACAAAAGAACTGAAAGCAGGGACTCAGATCTGTACACCAACGTTCATAGCGTTCACAATAGCTAAAGTGGAAACAATTCAAATGTTCCCTGGCAGATGAATATATAACCAAGGTGATATATATACACACAATGGAATATTATTCTGCCTTAAGAAGAATGGAAATTCTGATAGGTACTACAACATAGATAAACCTTAAAGACATTAGGCTAAGCAAAATAAGCCAAACAAAAAAGACAAATATGATCCCATTTACAAGAGATACCTGAAATAGACAAATTCATAGAGACAGAAAGCAGAATAGTGGTTACCAGGGTTAGGGGGAGAGGATGATTGGGGAGTTATTGTTTAATGGGCACAGAATTTCAGTTTGGGATGATGAAAAGTTCTGGATATGGTTGGTGGTGATGGTAGCACCAACGGTGTGAATGCACCTAATGCCACTGACCTGTACCTTAGAAATGGTTAAAATGGTAAACTGTATTATGTGTATTTTATCATAATAAAAAAAAAATGCAATGGAAAGACCATTAAATATCTGCTAGTGCAAACCCTTCTGCAGAGAAATAATGAGGCTCAGATATGTAGGAAAAAAGGTCACTCATTTCAAATCATTTTTGATACCTGAAGTATTAACAGGGATTCTTGAATTTAAACAATGTAGATAAAGCGAAACTCCCTTCAGGCCACTCTCCCTAACCACATCCCCTCCCTAGGGGAAAGCCATGCTGAAATCACTTTGTGTGAATTCTTCCAGATCTTTTTTGTAGATTTACAGAAATGGAACCATTCTGTCCTATTTTGCAACTTGCCCTTTACTCTTAATGTTATTTCTCAGAGATCTTTCCATGTCAGTTCATATGAGCTTCTTCATTCTTCTCAGCTGCAGTTCAGCAGGTCATAGCCTGCACATACCACAGTTAAACGTTCCACTACTGTCAAACACTTAGGCTGTTTTAAGTATTTGCCTATTACAGACAATTCAGCACAAATTCCTTTGTACACATACAGTAGTGTTCTTTAGGAAAACTTCTATTTACTTATTAAAGTTACAAGCATGTGGAATAAATGTCAATAAAAGAGATGCCATTTATTAGTGCTCAGGGAATCCTAAATATTATCCATCATAATGTTACATTATTAGCCCTCCAATCAACCCCATGAGGAAGTCGAGCTATCCCCATAGATGAGGGGAAGGTCCAGAAGAGGGAAGGTCCAGAAAATGAGTCATTTGCCTCCAGTCACAGAACTTATGAGAGAGCCCTGGGCCTTCAGGTGAACCTGGCTTAACCATGCAAAGCAGCTCAATTTGTGATGTCCTCCAGACCAGCACTAAGATTTCCTTCCCTCTGTGCCCTGACGTGTGACATAGGCCTGGAACGTCACAGGCACTAGCAAATGCTCCTTGAATGTTGTTGAGCAAATGAAGGAATGGATGGGTGTGTGGAACTCTGCTGCAGCTCTCGGCACTCTGTGGCTAGCGTCTGTCCATACTCCTGTCCACGCACCTGTGCCTGACCACTGCTCCTGGCCTGGGCCCCATCTGCAAAGGGGGGTTGGCACCACCAGTCTTTCCAGCTTCATTCTCAGCTGTCCCAGAGCATGTCTTTCTACCTCATCCACTGGAGGGTGATCTTTCGCCTAGATCTCATGGGCCCCCTGCCCTGAGATAGTCCCTGTCCCCAGACACCTGGCCAGACCTACTCGGCCCTCAACCCTCATTGCAGTCCAGGCCCTCCCTGGCTCTGATCCTTCAGTGTACTTGCAGGGCTCTTATCTTTCTTGCATTATATTCTTACTTCTTTTTTGAAGTTTGAATGGCCGTTATCCCCTTTGAAAATGCTACCCGGAATGAGCCTAATACAGATGAAGAGGCTGAGGTGCAGAGAGGCCATGTGATTTACCAGTGGGCAGTGAAAGGCAGTCACCCCTGGGTCTCTGCAGCCTCTGATGCCCATGTCCATCCTGTTACACTGGGGCCGCTTCTAAGACAAACCGGAAGGAGGCTCACTTGTTATCAAATGGGAATTGCACAGGATCCAGAGCTGAGAGGAACATTCATTTCTTGATACCAGCTCTGCCCCCAGAACCACATGGAGTAAGTCCTGATGCCACACTGAGTACTAGGCCCCAGTGCCTTGAGTGGCCTAGACTGCAGTTAGGGTCAGTAGACCCTCCCTGTCCCCTGGTTCTCTGGAGCTCCCTCTTGGCTTCTCTGCTATGTGGTCAACTCCCTAAGAGCAGAATCTTCTCTTTCAGGCCTGGAGCAGGTGCTGATTAAACATCTATTTTATTCCTGTTTCAGTCACTTGCCCTTCAACTGTTGACTCCAACTGAAATGGGGTCAAGGAGGCAAGGAAAAGGAGTAGCTCATTTCCCCTTATAATATCCAAAGCTCCAGTCCTCATAACAATAGCATCTGCATTATTATTAGTGCCAGGCACTGCCCACATAGCCATCACCTCATTTCCTTCCCATATCACCCGAGGGGGCAGGTGGGGGTTTGGCAACATGGGTGAAGGGGGTCAAAAGTTACCAATTTCCAGTTATAAAGTAAATAAGTCATGGTATATAATGTACAGCATGGTGACTATGGTTAATAATACTATATTATGTGTTTGGAAGTTGCTAAGAGAGTAGATCTTAAGTTCTCATCACAAGAAAATATTTGTAACTGTGTGGTGATGGATGTTAACTATACTTAATGAGGTGGTCATTTTGCAATATGTGCAAATACCGAATCATTATGTCATACACCTGAAACTAATATAATGTTCTATGTCAATTATACCTCAATAGACAAGCAAACAAAAAACCTGGTATTGTCTCCATTTCACAGATGGGAAGTAGAGGCTTGAGGGAGTAAGGAACTTAAGTAACGTTAATGCTGCTGAAGTGTGGCAGTCTGAGACCAAAACCCTGACTCGTGGTCATTGCACTTGGCAGTTCCCAGCAGTATCAGCCAGGGTCCAGCGGGAAGCAGGACACATTTAAATTGGATAGTTGAGGAGGGT